GTGCGGCAATTAGCGAAACGACCCCTATGCTTCTCCCTATTCAGTCCTAGGTCCACAGTACTGTTTATATGAGTCACGTATTTAGCAAAAAGGACCCCGTATAATTCTTTTGCTTGATATATACCGTCCTCACCTTGCTTCTTCAATCTCAGAACAGAGCATCGATAGGGGAGGAGCACCGGCCGGCCATGGCGTGCTCGCACGTGGGCTGAGGGGCACGCGCACGGGGAAGGCGGTGGCGCTACGGGCCTGGCAGGGTGGCTCCGTGCGCCAGGCGGCCGGTTCGGATGAGTAGAGCACGGAGGATGTGGCGGTTCGGAACGGCCGTGGGCTCGCGCGCGCTCATGCGGAGATGACCGACGATGGTCGGGCGAGGGACGCAGCGGCAAAGAGCCTCGGCGCCGCAGCATGGCTCTCCGAGCACGGTGATGTGGAGCTGCTGCGAACGCCGAGGTGCCGAAAGGCACGGCACGGCAGCAGCGACGGCAAGCATCCATGGCGGCGGCCGATCCGGCGTTGCGATCGACCGGTCCCAAGCGAGGGCGAAGAGGCACGGGCGCGCTCGCTCACGGGGGCGACCAGCACCAGCGAGGTGAGCGGCTCGGCGCGCTGCGAGTGCAGAGGCACGAGGGCGCGCGGGCGGGCGCGTACGGCGGCGTGGTGTAGCGCGGGGTCACGGTTCGGCTGGCTCGGCTACGGCCATGGCGCATGGGAGAGCAGAGGGGACGCGCGGGAGCAGCAGCCGAGGAGCTCTGCGGGTTCGGCGTGGACTCCAGCGAGGCGCAGCGGGTGGAAATCAGAGAGGGGAAAACGGACGGAAGAAATGAAGGCATGCTGAGGCAAGGAATCGGGCAAGCAGCGGGGACAGGAAAGGACGGCGATGCAGCAAGCTCGGCCAAATCTCATTAAGGCAGTGCAGAGACCGTAGTGGCAGGGAGGACGTGGAAAGTAGGCCAGGCAACAGGGACGCTGTCAATCGGCCGCTTGGCGCTGAAAACTCGCTGCTGCTCTGCAGGACTGCTGTGCTTACATTAAACAAAAATTGGGCAAGTCGCTGTCAAACAAGAGACAAGCGTGCAGCACGGAAGCTTGGCGGATTCAAATATATATATATATATATATATATATATATATATATATATATATATATATATATATATATATATATATATATATATAATCTAACCGGACAAACCGTCCGCTAGCATCGTCGTTCGACCTTCCCAATTATTTCTACGCACTACGTAATTTAACTTAAGCGTTTATTTGAGTCCACAACCAAGTCACACCAGATTCGCTTATCGTTCCACGTATGTTTTAAATCAAAAATTTAAGAAACGCGTTTTGAAGTTTTACTTAGGCCAAAATCGCGGCGCTAAATACGATCGTAACACTAGGGTGTTACACTCTCCCTGGTTTCTAACCAAAACAAGAGTGCACGCGTCTCCATGGTCTAAATATGATGGACAGGAACTCAAGAGTGAACTTACTTGATGATTAATGTGACGAGCACAGGCACGAGTAATAGGACCAACTGGTACTCGTGTCGGCGTGGATGTATCGTTGGTGTTGATGTCCTCATCACCGTGTATCGGGCCTGGGGCGTTACAAATGGTATTCAGAGCCAACTCTTATAGTTTTACGGTGTGACACCTAGGCCAGGGAACTGGAAATACGAACGTGGCCTAGAGAGTCGATCCTGAACATTTGTCCCGTATATGGGTAAGCTGGTTCGATAGCTTGACGAGGACCTTGAACTCATAGAGGGTGGGTAGATGTGAGACCCAGTTCATGGATTGAATTTGCGGTTGGGCCGGGGATACTGTAGCTGCAGCACCGAATTAGACTAGGCTGAATAAGCACTATAGCTGTGGAAAACATTGTACAACCAAAAGTTTAGTACCGTATCATGAATTCTGAAATCGTCGGACCAACTTAAATAGCCAGGCACCAAAGACGCGTAGTAACCTTCGGTTAACCGTTTTGCGCAAAGCGAGGATGAAAGTGTAAGCAGATTGCTACGTAGGTGGGGCCCACCCCTAGACAGAGTGGGACTGGGCCATGTGCTGGGCCTCGGCGTTACATGCACCTCTGTAAATTATCTGAAATTGCGCGTAAAAATTTCTATGAAGTTGATCATGCCTTAGAAAAGGAGAATGTAACGCAAGCAGAACTGTAGATTCATTGGTTTAAAGCCATACGCAAGCACAGACCCAAGTGAAGCTGCTAAAGCCATAAAACTTTGAAATTACTGACTCCTAATCCATTTTGAGAAAAATAGATAAAACTACTCGTTACTACAACGCAACTGCGGTTCACGAATGAGTCAGGGTTGGAGCCATAGGTGGCTGGAACTGATCTTAGTTATACTTTGCAGTGCAACCCACCTTCAACGATTGCTCGGGAGTTTTCAAAACTCTGAATAATTTGAACCGAAAACTAATATATATATTTGTATCTATTCAAAATTTAATTATGAAGTTGTTTATATAAACTCATGAATGATGGGAAAAAAACGAGCGCATCTCGGGCAAGCATGCCATTAGCTTTACAGAACCTATAACACAAATGTCATGGCACGGCTACCCCAAGTTCAATTTGCCCATCTGAAAGTGCTTGTGATAATTCGCATCGGAACATCACTGGACGACCAGCATTTAGGAATCGGGGTGGACCGCATGGCTTTTTCACCTCACGTTGGATGGCTTTTTCCTCTCCTCCTTACCCCTTACTCCCTCATCCCTTGCCATGTATATTAAAAAAGTTATCCCCACCCCCACTTTCTCCTCTCCATCCTCCACCCATTTCACGCTATGGAGGTGGTCCTCATCCCTTGCCACAGAGCCTCTCCAATGCCTCTCTTAGAGATCCCCCACCTCAACCTCTCCCCCCACCCGCCGAGATCCATGGGAGCACGAAGTGATCCACTCATCTTCCTTATATGTTGCAAATGTATGCTTCAATTGTTTTACATTATTAGAGGCATGTTGCAATTATTTCTATGGAGGTGGTGCGGCGGTGATGTGCAGTATTTGGTTATGGCTCTTTGTTCCCCCTTTCTCGGCTTTCTACGACGTTGTACGCCCCCCCACACATATGTTGCAACAATATGTTCCAAAATGTTTTATCTGTTCCTTCTCTCAACAAGTGTTTTTCATGTTGCAAGTTACAAGTATTCTGCGATGTTGCAAGCTTTTACACATATGTTGCAAGTGTATATGGCGCTGTTTCATCTGCTTCTATCCCCATGTTGCACGTGTTTCGAGCTCAAGCCCGTGTGGGCGTCTTTTGAGCCGGGCGTACGAACAGCCGTGTTGAAACTATGGTGAGGGCACAACGGACGAGGTTGCGCCTATGGGGTCGGGCAAACAGTAGGGGATGGGGAGAGGTGCGGATGATGGGGCGGATCGCATGGCTTGTCACGAGGGATGAAAAGCGGATCTGGATCTGACGGATATCACCATATATTATATTTGTTTTATATTTTTGTTCGATTCAGATTCGGACATCGATAGCGTTCGATATATATATACGGATTGATTACGGATTGACCTAGGCCTCTCCTTATGTTGCAAATGTATGCTTCAATTGTTTTACATATTGAGTAGCAAGCATGTATATATAATTATTTACATATGGATATTGCAAAACTAAAGAGTAAAGTAACAAATAAGATCGGATACATGTCAAACATCATATAAGCACCAATCTTCATGTGTTGAGTAGAAGAGGCATGTTCATGGGTCAAGTCATGTTTGTTCAAGATCTACAATGTTTATAGGCATTTTTTCATTTTGAGAAAGTTTGATGTTGTAAATTTCGTGTGTTTTAGATCTGAATGAGATTTAAGAATTTGTGACTAGTGTTTGATAAAACACTCAAATGGGATAATAAGCTATGTAACAATATGTTCTTGCAAAATGTTTCATCTGAGGTCATTAGTGTCTCATTTGAGCAAGTTTGACCAAGTCAAATTTGGTCAAATGAAAAAACAACACTTGACTCTAGTATTATGAACTCTAAATGTTAAATTGAAAAGTTTTGAATACCAAGTTTGTTCAACTCATCAAGATCTACAATTCTTGTTTTGGTCAACTTTCCATAGATAGTTTGGATGGTTCAAATTTGTGATTTTTAAATTTTGATGCTTACAAACTAGTTTTCTAACCCTAGATTGTCTCAAATTGAAAAGTTTTGAATACCAAGTTTGTTCAGCTCATCAAGATCTACAATCCTTATATAGGCTATTTTTTCATTTGAGAAAGTTTGAACAAAATGTAGTTCAAATTTTCAAGTGTGTGACATAGTTTCGTAAAGTCTATGTTCAAGAATTTGCCGTTCAAATGAAAATGAGTCAGTAACACTTGTATATCTTGCTGAGATGATCAAACTGGGGTGTGATAAGCCGGTGGCAAGGGCAGCCAAGTGTTTGGTCCAATGGTCGAGGAAAAGTTTTGACGACGATGGTTCAAATTTGGCGAGGATTGCGCCCGCCGGGGTCGGGGCAAACAGAAGGGGATGGGGGAGAGGTGCGCGGATTGGGGCGGATCAGGCATGGCTTGTCAGTCGTGCGGGGGCACGACGGGGCGAGGTTGCGCCTACGGGGTCGGGGCAAACAGAAGGGGATGGGGGCGAGGTCCGCAATGCCCGTCCCCGGCGAGCCGTCTCCTCCGGTCTCGCCTCCACAGTACTCGGGCCTCCTCGCCGCTCTCTAAAGCTGTATATCTGGCGGCAACGCCCCCGCGGCTGTCTCCCTCTTGCCCACCCTCGCTCGCGCCGGCCTGCGCGCGCCGTTCCCGCTCCTCACCTCCCTCGCGGGCCTCCTCCTGCTCCGCCCAGCCGCGCCGTCCTTCCCCTCCCTGGCTGGCCGCCTCCTCCTCTACGTTCGCCTCGCGGACCTCAAGCGCCTCGTCCCCTGCTCCACTCAGCTGGCGGACCGCCTCCTTTCACTTAACTTCCTCCTCGGCCGCCCGCGTGACGCCCGCCGGCTGTTCACCAAAATGCCCCGACCCAGTGTCCACTCCTACAACGCCATGCTCGCTGTTTACGCGCGCCTGGCACTCGCGGCACCCGCTTCTGAGGTCTTTGCCTCCATGCCACACCGGGAACTCGTCTCTTACAACGCTGTTATGCTCGCGCTCGGGCATGGCGGCAAAGCGCAGGGAGCTGTGGAGCTGTACTCCGAGCTCCGAAACATGTACCCCTCCCTTGGGTACAGCCATCACACCTTCTTGGCGCTCCTTGTGGCCGGCGCCCAGCTCATGGATAGGGAGCTTGCCAGGCAATTCCATGGCCATTTGGTGGTTCTCGGGTTCTTGTCTGATGTGAAAATTGCCAGCTCTCTTCTTGATGTTTATAGAAAATGCCATTGTGTTGATGATGCTAGGAAGCTGTTTGACGAGATGCATATCAAGGATGTGCATATGTGGACGACAGTAGTTTGTGCCTGTGCTGAAGATGGCCAACTGGCTACCGCTCGTCAGCTCTTTGATCAGATGCCAGAGAGGAATGCATTTTCATGGAATGCCCTCATCGAGGGATATGTTTGCCATGGGCATCCAATGGATGCACTGAATATGTTTCTACACTTGATGAAGGAAGGTTTGGAGCCAGATCAAATCACCTTGGGTTGTTGCCTGAGTGCTTGTGCAGCTATGCGTTCACTGAAACTTGGGCAGCAGATCCATGGAATGTTGCTAAGATGTGGTTTTGATCGAAGTGCAATGATCATTAGCTCAATCATTGACATGTATTCAAAATGCAGCTTTTTGTCTGGTGCCATAGAGGTGTTCAGCCTAACAGGTAGGGAAAGGAAGAATGCAGTGTTATGGAATGTCATGTTGTCTGCTCTGTGTCATCATGGTCATGAACAGGATGCGATTGGATTGTTTGTTCAGATGATTCATGAAAGACAGAAGCCTGATGCTAATACATTCTTTCTGGTTTTGACGGCTTGCTGCCACTGTGGCCTAGTTGAAGAAGGGATGAATTTTTTTGATTTGATGAGTGAGAGATACAGGATTGTTCCAGGACAAGAGCACTATTTTTGTATGGTTGATTTGGTTAGCCATGCATCATCCAATGATAAAGTAATTGAATGGATCAAAAGCTCACCATTTAGTTTTAACATACGAGTTTGGGAAGTTCTTGTTAGGAATTGCACCATACATGGGAACATTGAATTGTTGAATAAGGTAGAGGAGTAACTGGCTAGATTGGACCATCCAGAATGAATGGATGGTTGTTCTTAGTTTGACTTATGAGGTTGAAGGATGGTCATGCTTGTTCGATGCACAGGAGCCATTCATTTCAATAAGCAGAGATAAGACGACGACGACTGCATCCCTGCAGAGTTCATGACTGTATTGATCCAAAAGAAACCTCAATGAGGGGGTCAAGTGGACATCGGAATTATGATGTGTTCGGCACAATTGAAAAATAGATCATTGTAAGGACTATTCAAGGAATATTCTCAAATGAATGATGTCCTGCTGTTTGTCTTCCCAATTGATGGGGAATAAAAGGTAGAATTGCAACTTTTCTCAAGCGAACAATGTGCTGTCACATCACATGCTAACATACAGAAGGAACAGGGAATTTTGCATCATCTCCCAACTAATCTTCTTAAGAACGATGCAGGCTTTTCAATTTTTTTGTGCAATAATTTATATACATGTTATAGCTGCATGTATTCCAAGAATTCATTCAGGAATGCTGTACAGATTCTCATTTTCTTTTCTCTCATTACAGCAAGAGAATATAATTATGTTTTTGTGGTACATGAAACAAATAATCACTTTGATTGCAAATTATGATATACTTCTGGACCATTTGCATAAATCTTTTGTTCTGAATAAGGGAACAAGATGTGACAAGCCACTGGTCCTCCAAAAAAAAAAAGAAAAGCTACTCTTTAATCCTCAAGGAGATCGTTCTGTTCTTCGACAGATTGCATGTCAGCTGGCTCAGGAATCTGGATAAAAGTATTTACATTGTTGATCTCCGAATATTTTTCTGCCACATCCTGACGAGCATAGAAAAGGAAACCTCAAATTAAGAGCAATAGCAATTATATTCTATATACCCTTCTTAGATCTAAAGACGTACACTTTGGAATTCTTACCGTATATGCATGTACCACTGGCAAACATTTTTCAACATCACAAAAACAATATATCCTTTCATCCATTTTATAATATTTCTTTTCACAAGAGTACATGCCACTTGAAACAAAGAATCAACACACTGTCAAAAGCAAATGGTTTTATTCAATTAAGCCAATAGGTCAATAACTAGAAAAGGACATGTCTAGATGTCCTGCATTTACATGAGACAGCATGAGAATACAAGTGAAGCTAATCCCACACTAATCAAATTCATATATGTACATCTCAAATCCCATACTTTAATGATACCATTTTAGTTCACAGATACTATATGTGCGCTCATTTTGAACATACATGTACTCCATTCTCCAAGACAAAAAATGTTCTATACCACTACATATTCTACTAAGCAGAGTTTACTCTGTTTTTCCTAGCCAAGTATATAGATGGTTCTGGGTCCATTCAGCAAATATTTGTGCAACTAAATTGCATATTTGGTGCTCTCTTCCATATTTGTGAACCTTCGAGCTCTTCACTCTGTATCTTGTACTTTTTCAGGTCTTGATGTTCTTGCTTAGTACGGGGACACAATCTTGTACTCCCTCCATTTTTTTACATGTCGTATTAGTTTTTTTCTTAAGTTAAACATTCTTAAATCTTAACTTTGACTATCAATTTAACTTAGGACAAAACTAATACAACATGTAAAAACACAGAGTATGTTTTTGAAAAATTCCCATTGCACATTTGAGCCATCTGCTAATATGTTGACCTGGAAGATGCAGGAGGTCATTTATAATGCTTTTCCCAAACTGGCACAGAATACACTAGAGTTCCCAGAACAAAAGAAAGCAGGAAAGTGGATGCGGCATAAACAAAGGCCCTGGCAATCTGCCCGCTTCTTCTCATTGTATACACTTCAGCAGCAAAAGTAGACACTGTGCTCAAGCAACCAAGGAAGCCAAGCTGTATTCCACTAATAATAGTTGTCGATCGCTCTGTATGTACCTGTAAGAAAAATCAAACGAATCAGATATACAGGCTAATGTATGGAAGAGTCAATATACCCACAACAAATCGTGAATTTGTATGAAAAATTATTTGGCCATACCGCTTTGGAGGTTACAGCAAGAATGGCCATGATGCCTGCAGCAAGAACATTGGCTACCAGGGTCCCAATGGGCAGCCATTTCAAGGATCTCTGCTTGCCAATTCCCTGGCCATTGAGCCTTGCCAGGTACCAGCGTAGCCAAACTCCTGGAGGTGCTACCGAGCAGCCCATCCAAAGGACAGCACCGTCAGCAAGACTATGCATCTTTACTACAGTCAACACTATGCTCAAAATCCAAAAGAAAGACATCAAAATTATCATCACTGACAAAATCACAAACTGCTTAGTCCTGGTATCCACCCTCCAGTGCTCCCAGTCATATTTGTGACCTATCAAACTCTTCTCCCTGATGTATTTCAGGATCAAACTCCGTAGGCGCTCACCCGTCTCAGCACCAATCGTGATGGATTCATTGACAATGAACATCCCTGAATCAATGTTGTTAGCCATCAGAAGGATTATTTTCTTCCTATTTTTGGTTTGATAATATCTAATTTAGGACATATTGCACTTTATCATAAAAATGATGATGAGATACCTAGTACTACGCCCGCTATAGCATATACCCAGTGGCCTTTGGAAGACAAACCAACCATTTTCTGGTTCCACCCACTGAAGGTTGTAAGGCTTCCCATGTATCCAGTTGTGATTCCGACGATAAGATGGTCAGATATGTATCGTATATCAGCCTTGAATATGATACCAAACCAGCCCATCAAGAAAGATCCAAGCTGGCCCAAGAAATTTGGCAATCAACATGAGTTAGTACATATCAAATCCCCTGTAGATGAAAGGTCAGGGTAACTTTAACACTAAAAGGATTGCGCATACCATATTAGATGGAAGGTCAGGGTAAAGCGGGCTTTGGTCTGAGGTGAGTGCCAAGCAGTCTGGGCCAAACAGCTTTTGGAGCCCATACCTTGTGAATACCTGATTAGTTATTAAAAGCATAATTAGTCCAAGGGAACTGGAATGATGCAAGATAGGTAATCATCCTCTAATAGCAATCTTGCCAGATCCTTCAATGATCTAGACATCCACACATCAGTACTTGGTGCTGGCAGACACCTAAGTTGGTACAGTATGTGCTAAAAAGTATCAATGTAAGATTTCTCTAAATTTCAATGGTCCAGGACCTCCATTAGTAAAAGCATGAAACACCAAGTGTTGCCACATTACATTAGATCAGCATAGATTAAGTAAGAGCTACCACAAAGAACCCCATGCAAGATGTTGGAGAGTTACCCCGAAAAAGCCAAAGACAGCTAAATGGATCATGTAAGCAGCATAGTCGAGCCTCAGAGAAAGCTTATATGGTTCAACCTAGAGCAAACCAAAGCATTGTTATGTTAGCACATATAACATAAAATACAACCTTTCAGCAATATATCAATGGATAAGCAGCTGCTCAACTCAATTACTATCTTTACCTTGGTAGATGAATCTGCTAGGACGTTAGAAATAGTAGTATCTTTTGTCTCTGCTGAAGATGCAGGTGCTGATGCAAATTTGTTGCTGTTTTGCTTTATTGCATCATCTGGAAGAGGGCCAATCTTATGATGCTCAGAGATTCTTACTGTATCCTCATCAACATCGCCTTCGGGTGATAGAACACGACCACTTTCGATGAGCTGAGCCAGAACTGAGCTATCGATGTCTCCTAGCAATTGATCCGCCGACTGAAGAGAATGCCTCATCGAGCTCAGTATGGAGTCCCCCATATCCCTTGAGAGGCTGATGGATCCCCTTGAGCCCTGTCTGCTACTTCTCCTGCTTAACATTGAGCCAGACCTACTAGCTAATGGAGGACCAGTGGAATCCATAGATGTGCTTCTCGCATAACCCAGGTGATTTCCCTCAGAAACATTGCTCCTAGCTGAGGAGCTCTCCATTCTTTGTCAGGATTGTTTCTTCGGCTACAAAGACAGATAACAACCCTGCACAAAAAGTCAATGTTATGACATGAGTCAGTAATCCATGATCCATAATTTTCCTTTCTTTTCTTCATTTAAAATTCACAGGCCATATAAATTATGGAAGCATGGGAACCAAACAATGAGTAGGGCAAAAAGATAGGATTTGGTACGTTTTTGTAGGTGTCTGGACAAATCACATCACAGCTCTGAAGATCGAGGAGACTGGAGAGTCGTGTTTATAGGCAACATTTTTTTTTCTTCAGTCAAATCAAATAGTTCGCAGTACATGTACGTCACTATTCTCCAAACATCGAAATGGAACTTTTATGAAAGAAAGAAAAATGGGAACCGTCCGGAGTTCCTGAAAGGGACAGGGAACTTTACCAGGAACACATATGGCACACGCGAAAAAAATTGTAGGAGCGAGAAAGGACACCTAAACGAAGACCAGAAACAGATAATTAGTTTAATCAAAAAGCAAGGGTGGAAAAGAAGAAAATATAAACATATCTGAAACCGTGACAGCGCCGTTGAAGCGAGCGAAACAAGTGGCGTCTTCTGATTACTCTGCTACTGAATTGAATAGATAGACTAAAAGAAAAGTATCGATCCCGCTAAAGGTGCCTGCCTTTGACATCTCGATACTGATTGTTTGATTGTGAGTAATCAACTGGTCTAGTCTAATCGCGATGCCAATTGTTAATTAACAAGTAGCCTAATCTAACCAGTGCCCGGTGCCTTTTAGCTCTAAAGGTTCCATGGTCAAGTAAGGTTGGAGGAAGATCAGCAGGACGGACGAACCTCACGTGGCCACACCTACCTAGTTTCGATGCTTGCATCTCGGTCTCTCTCTCCGTCTCTTGTTCATCCATGCATGGAGATGAAGAGAGATGGGCCAGAGGAGAAGAAGATCTGAGAGATCTACCACATAATTGAAAACTCTAGTCTAATCGCGATGCCAATTGTTAATTAACAAGTAGCCTAATCTAACCAGTGCCCGGTGCTTTTTAGCTCTAAAGGTTCCATGGTCAAGTAAGGTGGGAGGATGATCAGCAGGACGGACGAACCTCACGTGGCCACACCTACCTAGTTTCGATGCTTGCATCTCGGTCTCTCTCTCCGTCTCTTGTTCATCCATGCATGGAGATGAAGAGAGATGGGCCAGAGGAGAAGAAGATCTGAGAGATCTTCGGAGCAGCTGGATGCACGGGGAAGAGGGAGACAACGGGAAAGACGAGCTCCAAGAATTACCTTGGTTTGGATTTGGGAACTCGAGGAGGAGGGAGGAGGCGACTGGCGAGCCGACGGTGGGTGGCGCGGCCGGGCCTTCTCTCTGTCTCCTCGGTCCTGGTCTTCAGACTTGAGGTCTCGTCCACGTCAGCAGTTAGGCAAGGCAATGTTTTATGAGAGTGCTGCTTCTCTTCCCTCCCTTTTATATTATATAAGAAAAAATGTTCCTGGCCATACTAGTATGATTCGCCAAGCTGTATGCCTGTATGGCACAGTAAAAGAATAAGCTAAAATGTTGAATGGTGGCATTAGCCGGAAGAAAAAGCGTTAAAATTAACATGTTAAATGGTGGCATTAGCTGGAAGAAAAATCGTTAAAATTAACTCAAGTAAGTGACAGGGCCTAAGATTTTGAGGTTGGGTATTCGAAATGTAAAGCCTAATATTCGGTATGTATAATACCGCATAGATGTAATTACATAATATATATATCAAATATATAACACATAATTGAAAACTCTTCCTCTTCATGGTTGAGATCTAAAAATGAAAACATGGAATCGCCTAGATAGCCAATTTCACTTACACTAAGGCGTGCGCCGGGCATTGGTCTATGCTCTGCAGGACGCCCCAACAGAGCCCGTTGGACGCCCCGAAGCCGCCAGCACACCGGTCGCCGGGCGCGCGCCGTGGAGCCACTTCGGCGCAACGGCGCCTCGCGCCCCCGCCCGACGCCCGCCCTCGTGGCCTCACGTCCGCCTCCGGTTGCCTGCCGCGAAGCCGCCTCACGCCCGGCTGCCCGCACGTAGGCCGCTCGCCGTGGAGCCGCTCACCCAGTTGCCGCCACCGCCACCGCCACCGGACGCTAGTGTTTGGGGTTGCCGGTCGCGGTCGGGACTCGGGATTCAGGGATAGAAATCGACCGAAGCGAACGCGAGAGACCGTGACTTGGGTCAGGGAACGACGAGATCCTCGGCAGTTGGCTTCGACAACGACATAGAACAGTCCGAAGAAGGATCGCCGTACGATCCCACGTGCAGGCGCTTGGGCTTGCTGTTTCGACCCACTTGTTGCCTCTCCGGTTCCGGCCCAATCCATGCGACACGGCCCAGTTCTGCACAAGGGACTAGAAGCAAGGAGCCAGGCAGGATCCTCTCAACCAAAAAAAAAAAGAGCCTGGAGGCTCTCCGACGCTACATGCTTAATCTAAAGCCCACGTATTAAAGATTTGTCAGCACAAATTTCAATATTCACGTACATTGCTGACATGACCCAGCATCTCTTTTCCCCACTAATTCCTACTCCCTCCGTCCCTAAATGTTCGTTGCCAGATTTACGTGTCGATAACTTTGACTCGATTTATAAAAAATACGTGTCATATTTTTATCTTCAAATAAATTTATTAAAAACTAGATTCAAATATCTATCCAATGATACTAATTACTTCCTCCGGTTCTCTAAAGCAGGTCGTTTTGAGGTTGTCTTAAGTCAAACATTTTAAACTTTGACTACAAATAACTTCTTTTGGGTTGAATTTGAAAATATGAAAGTGATGTAAGTAGATTCATCTCGAAATGTAGTTTCATAAAAATATATATTGACTATATTTTATAAATATTTTATAGCAAAGAGTTGTAGTCAAAATTGTTTCTTAAAGACCGTGTCGATGTCCAAAACGACTTGCTTTAGAGAACCGGAGGGAGTATGTATCATAAATATTAATATCTTTTAATATATATTTAGTCAAAGTTGTTTCTCGGAAAGCGAAAACGACAAACATTTAGGGACGGAGAGAGTACCTGCATAGCACATAGTTATCTCCAATATTTATAGCAAATAATTGTTTGCTCTGTTTTCCTAGGTTGTGCCGATTGATTATTTGCTTAGGTACAACTCATCCATATGGTATGCTAGCCAATTAGCCGTCTAGCTATCAGTTACCTGCAGTCCATTGCTTCATGTCTCACTTTGCCTGTTTTCTCATCTCTGCAAAATATATTTTTGTACTAGGCACCTGTTATTCAGCAGATCTGGTGTCAAACTCTTGCAATTTCGATTTTGTGCGTCCCACTTATCTCTATTGGATAGTTGGTATTCGATGAACAACAATTCAGTAAGTAACATTTTCCTATTGTATATGCTGTAATTGTCGATCATGTATTTCTTAAATATATTTAACATAGGTTGCCATTTTTTTGTTATGTTCTTGTTTTATTTGAGCCAAATTATTTTTATATCTATACCTAATAATAAAGAGGTAAAATTTCAGCCCAAAATTTCTCGCCATTTATTTTGGTCTGGCCTCCCCTAACTAACTCCGTGAATATAGATGTCTTTTTTAGTTTGTCTATAACCCTCCTATTTTATATATAGGGATTGGACACAAGTATAGTTAAGAATTCTATTCTAATTCAAATAGATACCTCCAAGTAAGTTGAATAGGGATTCTAATACCCGAATAAGAACCCTAAATCTATCTATCTTCCTCTCTATTGCCTTCTCTCCGGCAGATCGTATCCAGAGAGAAACAGGCACCGCTGCCCACCAGTCCGTCGCCCCGCACGACCTGCCCCATGTCTATCACTATTTTTTCATCGGAAATGCTACAAATAGGACGTCCGACACCAAACTCCCCTCCGGACGCGTGGCATGCCGTGCACCACAACTTTACATCACTGTCGCACACGCCGCTCATCTAAATAAATAAAAAACAAAATCAACTCATGGCCGCCTCGCCTTGCTCCGCACGTGTCGCCTGCCCAATGAACTCCTCTCTCTCGTTCTTCCCTGCTGCTCTTCTCTCTCTCTCTCTCTCTCTCTCTCTCTCTCTTGCCCATCACGGTGCGCGCCCTCCCTACCCCGGTGTCCTCCTCCCCCACCCCGGCATCCTCACCCACTAGGAGCCCCCAATGTCGCAGATCCGGTGGCCCTCTCCCCCACCCCGGTGAGATCCATGGAGGTGGCCCGACGGTGTTGCGAGGGGAGTAGGCGGCTCTCTCCCACCCAGGCGCGGTGCCCTCCTCACCCTCGGCACCACCTCTCTCACCTCGGTGATCGAGCTCCCCACACGGCAACCATGGCGCTCCTCGCCCCTAGTGGCAATGGTGCTCACACGCAGCCACTTGCCGCCGTCTCCGACCCCGACTACCGGAATAATTAATCGGCCCAGCCTTCCCTTCCCCTATATTGCATATATATGTTTGAAGTGTTTCAGCGTGTTCAGATGTATGTTGCAATTGTTTCATATGGATGTTGCAAAAGTTGACCGGGGGACGTTGCACATGTTGCAAGTGTTTCAGAGGCATGTTGCAAGCGTTTGTTCAAAATGTTTCATCTGTTTCTAGACGTATGTTGCAATTGTTTTGATCTGGATGTTGCGTATGTTTTCACACATATGTTGCACAAGTATGTTCCAAAATGTTTCATTTGTTTCAGTCTTCTGTTGCAGCAAGTGTTTTCATGTTGCAAGTTGCAAGTGTTATATCTGGATATTGCATATGTTTTCACACATATGTTGCAAGTGTATGTTCCATATGTTTCATTTGTTTCAGACGTATGTTACATTTAAGTGTTTCATTTTGCATGTGTTTCATGTTGTTCGAGAGTCAGGTGGCGCCGCCGAGCAGACAGACGGTCCTCACCTGCGATCAGGCAGCGCGGGAGGCCCGTAAGCCCCACATGGTCATGCGTAATGAGCAAGTGCGGGAAACATGGTGCAGGGGAACGGGCTAGCATGCGCGGGCGTCC